AAAGCCTGGTGAAAATAAGATAGCGAGTTGATAAGCTGGAGACGATGTTGCGCTCCCCTTCAGCTGCACCTGATGCAGATGCAATAGGCATGTTGCACAGGCTGTGTTGTCTCGCTCTTAAGCGTTCATTTTTGTGTGAAAACACAAACTTCGCAGGCTGGGTGGGCGCTATGGATAACACTCACCCCGGTGTGTGTTAAGTGACCTAAGGTTCTTTATCGCGGTCAAATTAAGTCGCGTGTTGTGAATTTGTCTGTTTTTTGTTTCGTAGGGATTTAACACAGAAATAGTACGATCTAAGCAAGAAACGGATATAGCGATTTCAGAGAAGGAGGGGAGGGGGAGAGATCCCCCGCCGCCCCTAATCATGAGCTCCTAATTCATAGAGATCCACCGCTGCACATGTTTAACGATTGATCTGCCTTATTACACTAATTTTACAATTACTTTATGCAAAATAAATTGCTGGCATGTCGGATCAAGCTTGCTTGTCTTTGCCAGATTGATCAGGCTGGCAAGAATGTCAGCGCGCAAATGAAGGAGCTCATAAGCTAATGAAACTGAACGCTGCGTACCGGGAACAATTGGTCAGATGACAGATTCGTCGCAGCCACCGGACTACGGTTTTAACCACTCACCAGCAGCAGTCGGGGCCAATTGACATGTGCAGGCAGCGGCCGAACTTTGCCGCCCTACTGGACTGACAGAGCCGCCGGAAGTCGTGCCCCTCCCGCCGGACTCTGTCCACATCCGGCGCTACACTTGGGCGGTGATTTCGACAGTGCCGGAGAGCACTGGAGAGCACACGTACCAAATGAGTGGAAATCATGTTTCGTCTTATTTACGCTCACCGCGAGAAAGGTGTTTTCACTCGCATACAGCCAAGAAGAAAACAGCGTTGGAGAGCTCGCTTAACACTACGCATTGGTGCGATTTGATGTGATATCTGTCTAATCTAATTAGGTCATGGCATTTGCACCAGGGTGCAATGCGACCCCTGCGTTGTCTCAAGAGCTATATACAAGTCCACTAAAGTTTTACACAATTGGCTTGCGCCGTTTTCACGCGATTTGCAAATCTCGAGTGCTATCATACGCGGTCTATATAATATATCATAATCTATATATCTATATAATCGTCAACAAGTCCCCGAGGCTAACGGCATGACGAGCTGAACGGAAGCTGCTGAAATCGGCCGCGTTCCATCCAGTCAGCCTCCTCTCCATCTGCCGAGGTACTGAAGTTCGTCAGCTCATCGGGTCACGTTTTTACATCAGCGTCCGGCTGGACTCGTCCATGCTCCGTGAACACAACCGGACAAGCTGCGCTACCGCACCGCCGCCCCCCGCTGGTACTCGTCTGGGGAGCGGACTCGCGTGCACGCGGGGTGACCCGACTCGGATTTAAAGCCGGCGCGCTGGCGACTCTTAACGGTTACTCGCTTTTCCGCGCACATAACTTCTGATAATCGCCTCCGTTCTCCAGCGCCAAAGGCATCGGACATTCCGATAACCCAGAGAAATAGCCCGGCGAAGTGTGCCGGGGAAAATACAAATGAATCGTTAACTGCATGTTCGAGATCTTTGGCAATTTCAGATTAAAAAAAAAAATCCGTCCAGAAACTATTCGTCAAGAGACCTAGCCCTGATTCTACTTGATTCGCTCTCCAAAGAGCAAAAACATGTGGTTACGAACTCAATATTTGTCTTCTCTTCGAGGCGCTCAAAACTCCGTTGCAGTCAATGCCGAATTTTAGCCACGCACGCTCATCTACAGAGTTGGGTGAGTGGAGGGTTTCGTAAGGCAAAATGCAGTTTACATCCTTTACCTTATGGGCGCCATATAACCAACGTAGTCGGTGCGCCCCAAGCCCAAATCATCACATCCTTTACCTTGTTTAAGGTCGGCAAAACAGCGCAAGTCGTGGTCTGTTTGGATGTATTTCAAACCCCATAATGGTCCATAATTGAAATATTTATAACGGGCTCCAATGACAAATCTGATGCAACACGGAACTTCCTACACATGGTGATGTTCATTGTCCTGATGTTCAACTCTCGCTGTTCATTATCGCGGATGCTTCCCACGCTCAGTGGTTCAAAACATTTAACACGCGCTCGGGTGGGGGGTCAAATTGACCCCCAAAGGTGTTCCAGAATGGTTCCCGAACAGCGCAGCGGAGTCGGACCAAATTTTGCAGACTATTGACATTTGAATAGCGGATCGTTTGACGCAAGAAATTTAGATATACCTTGTAAGGTCATTGACGTATGGCAGGTCAGTCAGATCATGGTTTCAGCGAAGGCAATTTTTAGGGAATCTTTCAATCTGATACAACAACGGAGTGTTTGACGAAGCCTTATGTCTCTGAGATGCTTTCTTAGGCACCACAAGTATTGAATGAGCAAATTACATTGACCTATGGTCAGGTATGAAGGTCAGACCAAGGTCAAAAGCAGCCTGATTTATTACTCTAGGGTTTGCTGTATGGGATAGTTTCTGGTGCTCATTTCGAATAGTTTGACAGCAGGAACCGCATTATACATCTTCCATTGACTTCTTAAAGGTTAGAACAGGTCACTTACCTAAGATGACCCGGGTTGAAATTTTGTTTTATGAACATACTGCCTAGCGTAGTCTTTGTCGTTTATTCAAATGCAAAACTCAGAGCAATCTTCTATTATTTTGGTCACCATGACCTTAAAAAGGTCAAACAGGGTCAATGACCTCAAATGGGCTTGTGACCTTTTGCTTAGAAACAGTTGTCTAGGTTCTGGGGGCACTTTGAGACCAGCCTGGAATTTGACCTTGTTTGCCCCTGTTTGACCTAAAGGTCATGACCTAGGAAGCTCAAAATTTGACCTAAGTGAGTTCACGTACAGGTCAAAGCACCCTCGAAATTTGGTGTCTCTAGCTTTCTTAGTTCTCGAGATCTTAGGGGAGTCAAATTGACCCCCCACCCGAGCGAAGGGTATCCAGCCGGCCACCCGGGCGCGTGTTAATGCTCATAACCCATGCTCACATCCTGTGGTGTGTTCTCCCAACCGCTAATGTACGTAATTATAAAAGGAAGCGTTCCACGTTTGTATGGGGTTTAGAGCTGAAATAGCCATGTTGTAGACCTTTTGATGCAGCTCATGGCCGTGCCCTGTCCAAGATCTAAAACTATCTGCTTCCTGAGCTGAGTAAAGACGTGAGAGAGTTATTATGGGAGGGCATTTTAAGTTCATCGTGGTGCTCATGAAGTCAGAATAACGTCCTTCAAATCCTGGCATTCCGTTAACCACGCGGCGATCAAGGTTAATAGAAATGTCATGACCGAGTCGTTTATGTGTAGTAGGCTATTCACGATGGGTTCCCGGACTGGCATTTAGCCTGCCCGGCCAGCGTTCCTGCCCGGCCGGCCGGAGCGGCCGCGGACTTGGGGCAGGAATGGCCAAACGTGGGTGGGAGCTTAGTTGGTCCAGGATGCTGGCTGTTAGTAGAAGTGACCGAAGTAAACCAAGGTGTATATTTGGGAGCAGCAAAGAGCGAACAAAGCATGGTCTGAACAACGAGCAAGACAAATGTCTTAAGTTCAGACATTTGTTTCTTCTCCCGCACCTGCATCGCCTGCACGCCTGCATCAACTGGACGCTCGGACAGCGCGCCTGCACCGGCTGCATGCTCGGACAGCGCGTCTGCAGCGAAAGTTGACCTTGCTTAACCTGGGATTACCTGGCCTTTCAAAAGCCATCAGAACGATAGCAATGAAGTTCAGGGTGATATAAAAGAAAGAGTACTTCAGAAAATCTCTTTGTAATAAATGTCCGCCGTGAAGTGAAGGTTATCGATTGCTTTTGGGAAGTATATCACCGAAACATGACCTCGAGAGAGATCATAGATCACAAACTGTTGAGGTAAAAATCTAACATCAGAAAATGCGTGTAAAATTATTTAAATCGCAGTGCCCAAAATTTTAGAACCGTGCCCAAAACCAGCCAGAAGCCATTCCGCAAACAAGCATGGAGAGGGGCTCTGAGGCCCCGTTGTAAGGCGAGGGGTAAGGGTGTTGTCAAAGCCCCGGCCGTTTGTTCATACACGCAGATAAATGGGACGTTCCTTGATTCATGTGTGCAACACCGGCCTCAGCCTACGCGGTCTTTACGGCTGAAAATCTCCCAGACCCAGACAGTGAACAGCAAGATCACACTGGCGTCAACTCAGAGACGAGCGTGTCATCATTGGATTTATTCATTGCACTCCAGCTCAGGCCTTATGGAGTATGAAACTTAAAGCCCTAGTGAACAACGATTTAAGCTCTTCGGACTGAGAAGTACATGATACGGGATTTGATTGTTTCGAACAAGCGCAACACCGAACACCGCAGCTTCCTGACCTTCTGGCTCTCCATTCTCCGCGGCGGCAACCTCGTCCGCTGCCGAGAGTATGCAGCTATAACAAACTGAGATAAGCACCTGAAAGCCTGTACAACGCAGCCGCATCGGCGTTCTCACACTTATATCTGGCATCTGAAACCGTTGCTGACCGATAATTCAGTTTCCGTTTTCGCCGAATCCTCATGAGCATATGATGCGCAACATGACGCACTCACGCAGCGGGCACTTCCCCGCACGCATACTGAACAAGCGTGGCGTCACTCTCACAACGAGCGCGACGCAACACCAAAGCCTGCAATGACGTCCGCACCAGAACGGGCGCGAGCGATGCTTCCCACATGACCAGCGAGCCAAACCGTACCCGTATAACAAAAGCCGCGTCTCGACACCGCCGCCGCCGCGCTCCACAACAGTCGCGCCACACTCCCGTAGAAAAGCACGCATCCCTCTCGGCTCGCAGCGAAGGCGTCCGGATCACAGCGCGTCGATTGGCGCGGCTCGGCACCTGGCGAGGCGGCCGCCAGGGCGCGGCACCGCGCGCCCGCCGCTCGCGGCGGCCGGCAGCGGGCGGCCGGGCGCCGGCAGGGGGCCGCGCCCGCCGCCTCCGGCAGCCACACCCGGTCATAGGTCTTCGCTGGTGGCGGTCCGGTTGGTGGCGGCGCCTCCCTCTCCCGGCCGGTGGCTGGGCATGTGCAGCAGGCGACTGGAACACCGAGACAGAGCACACCGGTCAGCGGCTGGAACACCGAGATGGAACACACCGGTCAGGGACTGGACCACCGAGACAGAGCACGCCGGTCAGGGGACTGGAACACCGATACAGAACGCACCGGTCAGGGGAATGGCACGGTTGCAGTGGTAGCCGAGAGAACGGGTCGTGGCCTTGGTTGTGATGGAGGAACTTGCAGTTAAATCATTGCGTGCTTGGTGAATGCGGTATATAAGTGTAATTACCTCTGCAAATAAACTGTCCACACCTTATGTGCTCAATTACAGAAACCACGCATCATCAGAAGCAAATGACGACCTCTTTCTCCAGACGGTGCCGACGACATTTAGGATTCAAGCTTCCATCAGTGGACCTCTATGGTGGGATATGCGGTCCAAGTGACTCCCTGGTATTTCTTTTCTCCATCTTGACATACCTCGCTATGGTGTGACCCACGCACCATTAGCAGGCCAGGTCGTTCGAAACAAAGCTATGCCATTTGGGACCAATACAAGATCGCATGAGCGAGCGCTGACATTTCATAACCTAGTTTGACAAATTGTCCGTAGTGTGGGCCTTAACTTGATGGAGTTTGGCAGGCGCCATTCAGCATCGTTTGTTCTATTGTCATAACATGCTTAGTTCGCGAGAAAACGACGTGTGGTCTACTCACACCAGACCTGACTCGTTAGACCTGATATGACGCGCCACGGGCGTCACTGGCTGATGTTATTAGCCACGTGGGTAACCGGCAGCGAGTCCACGGCTGCACGCTACCGTGCTCCCTACGGTCAAACCACCCCCCGACTGCCTGTAGATAGAACGTCAAAGAAGTCAAAACTCGCTAATTTTTGCGCGGAAGGACCTTTGCAACGAGCGCACTCTTAAGCACAAATAGACATCAACAAATAAACGCGTTATTTTTGCTTGGCTGACGTGGTCTGATCCATTAAAGGCCACCAGCTCTCAGGTTCAGTGACACTAATCTAGTGGAGGCTTGCCTGAGGACTTGAGGACCTGAGGACCTGAGGACGAGGACTGACGAAAGACAACCATGCACGAGCATAAGCTGATGCTGTTCAACGCCACCTATCCCATTCCACTTTCCGTTCTGCCCCAGCATGTTTAATTTTCAGGAAAGTAAGGACCGGCTGGGGAGCCCAGCTTTCCTTGAAGGTGACAGGACCGCCTGTCCGGCTAGGACTAGAACCATTTAGTTTCTATGACAGAATATTTAACAACGCTAAGTGGATCAAACGTCTCCAGAGCATCTTGGTGTATCATCAAACACCGCGTCTATGCCGCGTTTGAGCGAAATTTCATGGAAACCACACAATCGCGACAGCAGCCGGAAGAACCGCTCGTTCCAATGCCATCCGAAAATCCCTCCTCTCATACGACGATAACGGTGTGCAGAAGTGGAACCACCGCTGGACAATGACACCTTTGAGTCTCTCATCCCTTCCAATATTGCCGACAGTTCAACGCGCTGGACTGGCTTTAGACCTACAAGCACAGGAACCGTGCACGATAGCGACGTGTAACAGTGCGTTAACTCGGTGAGCATTCGTAATTACTGGAAACCCAGATTGCAACAGAGCCTGTCTGCCATCGTCGCGCCACAAATGCTTTACAGCACCGCTAACGCTGACACCAATCACATCGGCGCACGCGGCGGGACTGGTGACAGACGCGACGCGCGCGAGCTGAGGCCGCGCCTTCCAATCCACTCGCTGCGGCTCCGCCCCCGCCTCACCAGCCTGCCGGGACGCCTCCGTCCCCCGCGTCTACTTGCGCTCGCCAGGAGCACGATGGGCTATTGCACCCGGGAGCCGCGCTACGGCCGTGGAAGCCGGTGTAATTCTGCGGCTCGCGCGCTCTGTGTCGCCGCTGCTCCGCTCCGCTGACCCGCCGTTGCCTCACGGCGCCCCCGCCGCGGTCGTCTCGAGAAATCACCAGATGCGCCCCGCGGAATTGTGCCGCGCCGGCCGCCGCCACAGCGATCGCTTTGGTTGTGAGCAACGGTCGGGGAAATGGTGCATTCGTTCTTGCGCGATTGAGATCTGCAACCGCGTCGCAGCAGTGGAATGCTATGGTTAAACGCATGTAAATACCAAGCTCCTACTCGGGCCCCCGGATGCACACAATGCATATCATTATACATTCCATTCAACAGCGCTAAGTACGGTAGGCTAAACATGCCGTATTTCACCACAATTCGCGCCCACCCAGCACCCCAGGCAACAATTTGGGAGACTTTAACATCCTGTTTACCATAATCAGCGAGTTTACGGCCGGTAGCCAGACCCCAGAGCCCAGCCCGCTAGTGTAGCGGCGGGGAAGCCGGGAGAAGCCTGTTTCCCGGCTACGATAACGGGGCCAGCCCGCTAGTGTAGCGACGGGGAAGCCGGGAGAAGCCTGTTTCCCGGCTACGATAACGGGGCCAGCCCGCTAGTGTAGCGACGGGTAGGCCGGGAGAAGCCTGTTTCCCGGCTACGATAACGGGGCCAGCCCGCTAGTGTAGCGACGGGTAGGCCGGGAGAAGCCTGTTTCCCGGCTACGATAACGGGGCCAGCCCGCTAGTGTAGCGACGGGTAGGTCGGGAGAAGCCTGTTTCCCGGCTACGATAACGGGGCCAGCCCGCTAGTGTAGCGACGGGGAAGCCGCGACCACCAGCGGCGAATCTTCCTAGAGCGGGACACAGCAGCGGCCTCATTCGGCGCTGTGGAACATGACTGTCCAGGGCGTGTCGGGTGAATAAATGACGCCGATGGGCGGGACTTCCGTCCCGTCCCCGTCCTTCCATTAGCGGCACAGACGGTCCCATCGCGGATTCTCCTTCCGCTCTGACCCGGCCGAGTCTTCCCGCTCAGAGCGGGCGGCGGCTTCTCGCCAGATCGGGGCGGAGGACGCTCCGACGTGGGTCGGAGCTGCAGCGCAGCCCGGGTCGGATCCGGACCGACGAATGAATCTGTCTGAAGGGATCCCAGGCCGGCGGGCAATCGGGACGGAAAACAATTCTGTCGGGCTCGCGGTGGAAGGGATGGGGGTTCGGCCCGAGCCGGAATGGGGTTCGGCCGCGGCGGAATGGGGTTCGGGCCGCGGCGGAATGCCGATGGTGTGTGGGACGGGGGTCAGGGAGACAGTTGAGGCTTCTCCCAGCCCAGCGGACCCCAACCCCGCCGCGCTCGATGATCGATGCCGCTTATTTTCGGACTGAGGAGCTGAAAGCCTGTCTCACTCGGACATGTCACACACGATCCTGAACTCAAGCCAGTCCCTCATCGCCGACGGCAGTGATATTGGATCACTGGTTCCAAGGCGCAGACAACCCAACAAAGCAGTTGGTCGGCACGCACATTAGTAAGGCCTCTCACCCGTAAAAAACGATTTTATAACATCAAAACTGAAAGCCTGTCAGGCTGAGTAGGAAGCCCTGCGCTGATCTCTGCTACCATGAACGAAGTGAGAGTGGCTTTCAACGGGAAATGCTTCGTCTTTGATAAAAGCATGCCAGGTAGGATCATCGCTCATTGTGTCTAGATACACCGTAAAAGGATCGAGCCCTCATATGTCAGCCCACACAAATACGCGCCCGGGACAGCGAAGTGGTTGGCTGATGTTGACGAGCATAACGAGTGCAACCGAACAGTAATGTATTGCGATACGATATCAATACGACCTTTAGTATCTGCCCCAATGCCCACGAAGCCACTCCGGTGCACTGTCCCTCCCCCTCCCTCCTCCTCGCCGACGTCCTCACGCACATGCTCGCTATTTGCAGGTTTCTGATTGGACTGGCGGCCACAGGGGACTTCGGAATGGGATGGTGGTGTAACTAAAAAGATAGCTACAAAAAGTTCAGCGCGAGGCAGGCGCTCAAAATTTCTTGCGTGGCGCAAAATAGTATCAGGTGTCCTTTGCCCATCTATTGTTGCGGATTTTACGTGCAACTCGAATATTCAGTTGTCAATACATATTCACGCGCACGCTAATAAGACATGTGCTAAATTTGACATAGAGGGCAGGGAGAGATTCACTAGAGGGGAGGGATGACGCGAACAATCCACCGGGCGCCCACGACGGCGGCGGGTCTGTGAGCAGCGGGGCTGGGCGAAGACGCGCACCATATTTTCTAGTGGAGAGGGCCGTGCCTTGCGAGCCCCTTCCGCCGCATGCAGCCAAGGCGCTCTGGGGACCAACCAGCAGCTACAGATCTTCACATCTTTCTTGCTTTTTCTTGTGGTTATATTTGTTGCGCATAACCGCACTCACGGGCACAACGTAAAATTTGGCGCCAAGCACGCCTGTCTGTCGTATGCTTCTCCCCTTGTTCAGGCGTCTGGTGAGAGGCGCGGGCCCGTTCAGCGCCGGCGCGTTCAGCTGTGGTGTGCCGGTCTGCGCGTGGCTACGTACCAGCTCAGCTTGCGATCGACGTGGGACTGACGCCGGCAGCGCAGCTGACGTGCGCCGGTCCGCGCGTGGCTACGTACCAGCTCAGCTTGCGGTCGACGTGGGACTGACGCCGGCAGCGCAGCTGACGTACGCCGGTCTGCGCGTGATTACGCACCAGTTCAGCTTGCGGTCGACGTGGGACTGTCGCCGGCAGCGCAGCTGACGTGCGCCGGTCTGCGCGTGGCTACGTACCAACTCAGCTTGCGGTCGACGTGGGACTGTCGACGGCAGCGCAGCTGACCTGTGTCGGTTTGCACGCGACTACGTACCAGCTCAGCTTGCGGTCGACGTGGGACTGTCAACGGCAGCGCAGCTGACCTGTGTCGGTTTGCACGCGTGGCTACGTACCAGCTCAGCTTGCGGTCGACGTGGGACTGTCGCCGGCAGCGCAGCTGACGTTGGTCGCTCAGGTCATGCCACTGCTTAACCACGGCGTCCCGCACCTGGGGGCGGACGAGGCCAGGTGATGATGCCGCTTCCGTGAGGGTCAGAAGTGCCGGGGTCCGGCGCGGCCGCCAGACGGGTCGCGACACGACCACGTGCGGACACAGGTCAACGTCCGGTCACGCCTGGACACGCCGCGAGACATAGACTGGACACGTGCGGGATACGAGGCACCGTCTGGTCATAATAGGACACTGGGCACGGCTGGACAAGACAGGAAATGGGGCAGAGACTGAGCACAGGACATGCTTTCGTCACGGCGCGCGGATTAAGCTCGACCGAACAGAAGCCGAAACTAAGCGCAGCGTGGACACAGGACACAGACACCTCCAAAACTGGGCAAAATACACAGCATACACAGGCCGAGAGATACCGGCAGCCCGACATGAAATATCAGGGCAAACACGTGAAGCAGAATTCGTAGCCCACACGTGGCGCAGGACTGCGACCGAACAGATGGCTTCATCACACCAACTGCACGCTACCGGACTAATGACGTCATAGCGGAGCCGTTGGACAGCCTGAATGCATGGGCCAGAGAAGACAGACGGCTGCACGGCAAAGCACTGATGTATGCATCCTGGCCTTACGGGCGAGACAGACCGGGTGCCAAGGACGTGTCGCGGTCGGAAACAAGACCAAGCAACCGTGCAGCCTAGCAGCCTCGGACCGGGGGCTCAGAATTATGAAAATGACGGGCCCGTAATGATTTGGCTGTGATCTAGACCCCAAGCGGCAATTGTAAACAAGGCCAGGCAAGCTCTTTGGCGTCCAGACGCTCGCTGTCGACGAGGGTTGTTGCCGATTTGTGATGTTCCGAGTATTTTAAGGGATTAAGTACTTATCTTCGTAAACATTCATGATGGCATCTCATTTTAAATTTGGTGGGCAGCGCATTCTAGAGTTTAGGTAGATCCCAAGCCATTGAGTTGTACGCAAAACATTTTTAAACCGTGCGAGCAGTTGAGTAACAATGCGCAGGAAAAAATTAACCACCACACAGATTCATCTTGTTGGCTATTTTGACAAAGAGCAATTGGTGCATTTGCTTGTCGTTGAATGCAACGGCAAAAACAACTACTGAATAATGGACAATCTTCAATCAACCGACGCACCGTGAGAATGCAGCGGCACAAAAACTGTTGAATAATGTATTATCCACAATCAGCCGACGCGTTGTCAGACCGCAGTGACGTCAACTGAGCCTCGGTCACACAACAGTGTGCTGGAACATACTGCACTACATTGTTTATAACCTTCGACGAACCACCAGGTCCAGGCCGAACAGGCCAACACTGGCCAACCGGAGGCCCTTCACAGACGTGCTCAAAGGCCGAAGTGGGCTGAAGCTGGTAGCCGCCGCTTGTCAAGGTTTACGGCCGGACCGTTGTCAGATCGAGAAATCCAGACAATACGTCAACTTTAGAGGCCGTTTGCATCGATCTCATCATTATGTCATCCTTTCATGCTGTCATTGCATTCTGTTTTATGCCATCGCAATATAAACACGTTCTATCACGTGACGTGTTGCCTTGCGATACATAGGCGGAGTCCCGATACCTGACCAAGTTTGTACATTTACACCGTCCACAGTGCAAGTGACGGGTACCAGCTGTGACCGTCGGGTATCGGCCACGGTCGTGGGAAAGACAACACTGCCATCATACCCCGAACGGTCGTAAAAAAACAGCACATCCGGACATCCGATGTAGCCTATCACGTTCAGTCACATCACCGCATTCCACAGGCGTCGAATCTGGTGTCGTATACTACTACGAGGATGTAGTGCTGTATTTTCCTTTGGCGCGCTGCTTATAAAGTGGCATAAAACGTTTACCCAAGGCTGCGAGAATGAAAGGCTACGCAGACGTCGTGTCACCATGGGACTAAAGTTCCATAGTCCGTAGTATAGTTTTATCGATACTACGAAAAGGTTGGTAGATACTAGTAACATGATGAAAACGGAAATTTTGCTATGAACTGAGTGGACAATCCTGTTCCACATTTTTATCTCAATGCTACATGAATAGATATTGCACATTTTGAATTTCCAATCTTCTAAAGACAATTCAATACTAGGATTACCCTCCAAAACAAGATCCTACCAAGCTACGTTTCCTAGTTCCAGCTCCCGCGCCATATTCGTCGTGATAAACGCGCCTACATATTTATTTGTAATGCCTCTTGTAAAAGGAATACTCATATGTAAATAAATAAATAGCATTTGTTATGTCTGCAGCCGTAATTAATGAGAAGCGATTCAGCATACACTTTCGTACTGCTGCGCTTATATGGAGTAAAATGTAAAAATAAGGTAATGTGAGGAGGGCAGGTGCCAAGAATTTCGTTATTGCTGTGCCACGATTTTCCTAGGTGTTAGTTAACCTGCAGATCCATAATGACGGATGAGTTAGATAAAAATGGTGGGCAGGAAGTGCTACCCGACTGTCCTAACATATCCTCAAGACTATTTCCGAGCTGAGACATGGGTCACGACTTGACAGGCAGAAATTGCAAAACTCGCCAGAAATCGTCCCATTTTACAGGAAACTCTGCTTTCTTGAACGGAAATGGCGCGCGCTTGCATTTAAGTCTTCCGGGGTTCACCACTCACTACCCCGGCCAGGGCAGGCCGATCCTGCGTCCACCATGACAACGCTCCCCTAAGGCTACAGGGTGTGCATTCCAACTTCTTCAACGCGCGTGTCAAGGTGCCGCGGGCCCATCTGGCCCGCCGTGCCTCATCCCTACGGTATGTTGTTGTTGTATGCTGTACTCTTTTACACAGACTGTTTCTAAGTACTTCCGGCTACAGTTCTTCGTTATAAACTACTGGTGAATGTGTTACCCATCTCTCTGTCGAGGGTGGAGCGAAAACGCATTTCAGCAATAATTTTGTAGCTCTGGTGCAAACCAATGCAATTTTCCAGCTGAAAATAGTTCATTGAATATGTAAGGTAAAAAATCCGGTTTATGGAAATATTTGTGTCTAAATCAGCCCGCAAAGAACAACGTTTTTGACGCCACGGCATCCCCTACCCATAATGCAGTAATGCCGGAGTTTGCGTTTACCCACATCTGAAGGAGATAAAAATGACAGTGCACGAATCAAGGCATCAAACCTTATCAGAGCAGCTACCAGTTACCTCTACAAACTTATGATATGTTCTAGTTGTTTTATCACGAGCATGTAAAATGCTGCGACGGAGAAAGAACTTGGTCACCCAGTACACTTCGTCTCACACAACACATGGCAAGTGGCCGTTTAAGTAACAAGCGCTTGACCCAGAGTCAATCATATTTCTGTGGACCATTTTCATCGCGCCCAGATCGACACACATCGTTGGCTACTCTTGACTTTACCCATTGGAACATGTTGCGAGTACTGCGTGTTTACCACGCACTTGGCCACAGGTCATGAAAACAATTGCCCTGATGGAGGCCAACACCCTGGTTCACGTGTGTCCCATGTCAAAATCGATGGGGTAGGTATAACTGCATTTCATTCCTCTGTATTGTACAAAAACACGTTTTCCTTCCATTTTGTTCTCCAATATAACCTGAAAATTATCATTCCTAAATGTATTTCAACCATCCCAAAAACATGTCACTGGGGTGCTTGCTATCTAACGCGCTGTCGTACCTGACAATACGACCAAACTTGCCGACTTGCTGGAGTGTAAAGACCAAGAACAAGGCAACAAAATGAAATATGCAATGGGTCAGCACCAGATGGCATGACTTCCTATGCATTACACTACCAAAATTACTTTTGGGACGGACCCAATCCTTGTAAGCATATCTTAGGCCAGGCGACATGTCACAAAAGGTACCGTGATGTAGGCGCGGCGCTCTTCTGTCAACCAAGGTAACCTCAGTAACAGTTTGTTCGTGTCATCTGCAGTTAGGACAAAAAGAGCCTGAAATTCAACAGGCCATACGTAGTTTGGGGTTCCGGGCCTGTTTTGTGTCCTTAAATGTTTCTTTAAACTTGCAATCATAAACCGTTACATATGCTTATGATGTCTGAATCATCCTCTGTCACATCACCATAAGAAAGATCGGCGCTCTCTGCCCCCCCCCCCCCCCCCCCCCCCCCGGCTGTCAACTCAGACTACCGAGCGTCGGTTATCTTTGCACACGCTTCAATGCAACTTCTGCCTGCCGCTGAGGCCTCTTTTTGCCATTAACTTATCGTGGGTAAAATGAAGTCTTGGGCCACAATGAGCGCTTCAAAATCGCCTCATATCACACATCACTGTAAGCGGTTTTCGGTTTCCCAGCTTATGATGTCCATGGGGATAGTTTGCGACCGCAGCCAGCCAACTAGCCGGAGTCTGTGCTTCGTACCATGATTGTACCGTAACTTAGTTGAATCCACCTGTGATCGTAGGCCACAACATTTTCAAAAGTAAGTTAAAACCATCATCCACGATCGGCGAAGTACAGTTGCTTTATTAAGAGCTCACCATCATTGTTTGGCCAACATGTATTATGCGCTCACCGCGGCCAATAATATAGTTAGCTCTCGGCGCAGCAAAACTGTGTACTAAAACACGCATTTTAAGATGCCTAATTTGAGACACTTTACCTCTACGTATCCCCCATATGACGAGGCAGTTCTAAAATATTGTGCCGTACGTATGACAAGAAGCGCGTGAACATATGCCACGCCAAGATTACCCGGTATAGTAGAGGGTCTTCAGAGCTCATTAAACGAAAATGCAACGCGTCGCAGACAGACTGATTTGCATATTGCAATTCAAATTCGTGGTAAAACCACTATAAGCCTGAGCGAATATTCAGCTGGAAATCAAAGAGAAACCACTCCATATGACCCGACCCGTGACGCGAATGCACTGTGGGTCATCAAATTGGTATGCGGCGGAAGTCGCGCGATCCTGGGCCACCTTGTGCTTGAATCAGCTTACTAGGCTGATTGGCGACGGAGAGATCCGGTCGGGGAATTCAGCGGCCCGCCACGACTAATGGAAGGTGG